GGATATCGAAACCCGGTTTCTAGCGTTGTAAGTCCGCTGTGCCACTGGGAGGCTTCTGTTCGTGTCAAGCGTTTCTCCCTCTTATTCAAGTGTAGTAAAAATTCCTATAGCTAAAAGTAGAACGTCACGAACTTTTAAGGATTTTACCAATTCTTAACAATTTCTGTAAGAAATATCAACTTTTTTGTTACAAAATCGATCATAGAAAAAGAACTATCTCCATTAATGGACACATGGGCATAGTTAGATATAGGGATTTTAAAATAATTAAACATACACGATCTTTAACACAAGTGTTAAAAATTTAGTCCTTACTGCAGTTTCATAGCTACGCCCATGGGACAATGGACTGTATCAAAATGGTGTGCCCAGATGTAGTCTCCCCGACTACAGCTTATTTCGTAGTTACTCCCTCAGACGTTGGAATGATATATAAAAAAAAAAGATGATGATAATAGTGAGCCCAGGTTTAGCCTCTCTAATAAGTTTATCATTTCGTATCTACTTCCATGGACAGTGGAGTTGATCAAAAGAACCTCTGATCAAAATATTGGACCAAGATCTTGTTGCAAAATCTTTATATTAATGTCGATATGAATACAATCAGGTAGTTTTATGGGTGTATAATCTTTACAGCGTATTTTTCATACAATGTAATATGGTGTAATTGGTGTAATTCATACAATGTGGTGTAATTCATACAATGTAATATGGTGTAATTGGTGTAATTCATACAATGTAATATGGTGCAATTGGTGTAATTCATACAATGTAATATGGTGCAATTGGTGTAATTCATACAATATGGTGTAATTCAATTATCGCTTTCTTTCCCAGTTTATTAATGCAACATAAACACCAAGAACTCTGAAAATAAATAATCTGTTCTGGGCTTTGTATACTTTATGTACACGAGTTTTGGTTTATTGTTTTCGGCATATATATTAATATGTTTATTAAAGCTATATAGTTTTACAACAAAGCAAACAAAAACGAATAAAGAAGAAATTAGCTTTGGTAATGTTAGAAATATATGTTTTACTAGTGTGCAGTTCAGTCGGCCATTGATGAACTGCCTACATTGTTAAGTTATGCGTTTTTTTCCCATTTCGTGAAACGATATATACATTATGAATACAAAAAGTATTTCTTCCTTTCCTCGAATCAGATAAGGTTGTGAATAAAATGTGTGTAATTATTTACGTTTCCAAGTTAAGTGTTTTACTTCACAGCAGACAATATTCTGATGTTAATTCTTGTTGTTTTGTCACACTCTATCATACAATATTTGGATGTTTTTATATTTCACTAGTTATGTATCACAAAAAACAAAGGATAGGAAAACCTAACCTTCAAGTTGTCTTTCACCTTTAAATAAATATGTATCTATACATAATTATCTACGTCATTAGTTTTATAAGTTTGTTTGCAATTAACCACAAAGCTACACAATGGGCTATCTGTGCTCTGCCCACCACGAGTATCGAAACCCGGATTCTAGCGTTGTAAATCCGCAGACATACCGCTGTGCCACTGGGGGGGGGGCAGTTTTATAAGAGAGATAATTATATGATAATACAGTGGTGTGTGGCCACAGGTTGGGATTATAGCTTCACGGGTAATATTAATATTAGCGTCTGTATGTTTTGTTTAGGTCGAATTCACAAAATTAAACAGTTCAATGTCTCTGGTTTAGTCTTAACGATGAAAGGATATTTATATTTCGAGAATATTAATGTAAATAACACAAATTTTGAAGAAGATAGCTTACAGTGTACTCTGTCGAGAAAAACAAACAAACTCGAGCAATAGAACGTTAAAGATAGCAACGGCACCCGAAACCACACCCCCAAACTAGCCAATCCAAAGCGATGTCTTCATCTACAAACGGATTTGAAGTTGATCAAAGCTCGTAAGCGTACGGTCACATCTCTCTCTAAATCAATGGTTGTTTTCCAAATAACTTAACAGTATTCCCACTCAATCATTTGCCTGAGAAGTCCCCTGGTGCAGCTCTCCCAATCAATCATTTGCCTGAGAAGTCCCCTGGTGCAGCTCCAATGTACTTGTTTACCTTTGGTCTACAAGTACATGGTATTGGGAGCGGATGATCATTCGCATTAGAGAGTATATAGAACTCTGCCAAGATGTGTGTGAAGATTGACTTTGCTTTTCAAAAACTTGTTACAAAGGAAATTTTAGTAGGGAACTATTCATGCCAATCTATGAAGAAACTATTCAGAGCCAACACAGACCTAGAAAATCATGGATGGAACGATTCAAAGTCAGCACAGACCTGGAAAATTGTGAATGAAATGGTTCAAAGCCAGCACAGACCTGAAAAATCGTGAATGAAACGCTTCAAAGCTAGCACAGACCTGGAAAATCGTGGATGAAACGCTTCAAAGCCATCACAGACCTGGAAAATCGTGGATGAAACGCTTCAAAGCCAGCACGTACCTGGAAAATTGTGAATGAAATGGTTCAAAGCCAGCACAGACCTGGAAAATCGTGAATGAAACGCTTCAAAGCCAGCACAGACCTGGAAAATCATGGATGAAACGCTACAAAGCCAGCACAGACCTGGAAAATCATGGATGAAACGCTACAAAGCCAGCACAGACCTGGAAAATCATGGATGGAACTATTCAAAGCTGGTACAGACCTGGAAAATCGTGAACGAAACGGTTCAAAGCTGGCACAGACCTGGAAAATCATGGATGAAACGCTACAAAGCTAGCACATACCTGGAAAATCGTGAATGAAACGCTTCAAAGCCAACACAGACCTAGAAAATAGTTGATGAAATTGTTCAAAGCCAGCACAGACCTGGAAAATCGTGAATTTATCTTCGTAATAACGAACAATGATTTGGCGA